CTAAATGGAATGAAGTTCGGAAAAATATTTGATATCATGTATTCCAGTCCCACAGCCCAGTAATACCACACCCAAGAGACCCCAAACTTTTCACACAAGGATGACGAAAATAGAACGTGGATAAGCGTATATTTTACGCTAAACTGCTAAAGTTTCGCAGCCGTGTTTAATGCAAGTTCGGGTATTCTGGCATGCACGTTACATAATTCATCCAGCACTTTAATAGAGAGATGGCACTAGTGTCTGTACAACGGCACCATATCCTCAGCCTTATATAGAATAGCGTCACCTCTCAATTAAATTTAAAGGATCAGGCCAGCAAATGATCCGAGCCGATGCTCTCTTCCCGTCACCATTCCTTCCGAGCAGGTACCTTCAGTACCAACTTCGTTCAACAGAGTGAGACATGGTCCAGCCAACTCTACCATAGGTCTTCCACGCTCGCATGCTCGGGTTCGACGATCGGCGACTTCCCCGTTGTTGCTTGGACTCGAAACAGCACTGATCCCAATTCTGAGCTCCTGAATGAAAGGAGGCTCACTACAAAAAAAAAAACATTCTCAAAGGAACGCTGAAAATGGATTTCTCTTTTCCTCTCCCCTCATCTAAAAATCGAGTGTTATGCAAATGGGTGCTCAATTCACGTAGCCTTGAAAACTCTGTCCAAATATTTCAAACTGGAGAATCCTTAACTCCAAGGAACCCTTTGCATTTAACAATTACCATTAGAAAATGAGAGCAGCGGTCAGCGACACCTAACGCTTTCGTTCGTAACTAGCAATTCTCTTTCAGCTGAATAGGTGTCCGGGAGCGACAAACGTTTCCAAGGCCTTCCAAGCCGGTTCAACGCCACTTTCTCCCCACCCCAATTCCAAAAACGGAGATGAGTGAAAAGCCCTTCTTTGGTGAATATCGCCCATGTATGAGTCAAAGACTTTCGAGCGTCTTTTTGGGAAGGAGGAGAGGCAGGGCATTTCGGGCCGGAAAAACGTTAGGTCTGGTATCTGGCAACAGTTGTGGCAGTGACGTCAATCATTGACATCTTTTGGGATTAGAGAGATTCGTTATCTCGTAAGTCGTGAGAAAGCTGCAAATATTTCCTACTGGGATTGCGACAAAGCACTTGTGGGACTCGATAAGTGTGGGAATGCAATTGCATCTTCACCTCTTCCGTGGTTTTTTTTTTTCCTCCTTCATGAGACAAGAGAAAGAATTCATTCCTCTATCAATAATCTTTAGAAGCACTGGAATCTTTCGCGAAATATTCTTTGGAGCTTCGATGGGGCCGAGGAATAAAAAGAGATGGACAATGGCGTAATTGGATTAAGGGAGGATCGAAGAAACACTGGAATCTGTATTGTAACATCATCGTGAGAGTCGTGTCGCGTTTCCATCGAAGCAGTTTCAATCCGACGAAAACCGTACTCATGCTGATACTAGAAAATTATTTGCTGTTGCGCTGTCACAATTCCAACAGATTCGGCGCTTTATTGCCTTTATTTTTGTCTTGAAGCTTATTGAATATTTCGCTGCCAGGAGAGAGAAACATGTCAGGTGGAAGAGTATCATGTCAGGTAGATACACGCTGAACGTGAGGTTAAGGAGGGAAAATGCCTTTCGATGGTGGTTGGCTCAGGAAGAAAAATAGCTCGGTGGGATTTTTTCCCCTTGTAAATAGTAAACATAGTTCTTACATAGCCTCATCAGCTATAATGAGCCCGTTACATCAATCATTTACCTTGAAGTTTGGAGGTCGAAATTGGAACCTCGAAGAAGCTGAGGAAAACTGTAGAGGAGGCAGTGGGCCATGCCTAGGGTGTCGATTTCTCGCCTTTCGTTAAAAAAACTCGAGGAAACGGGGAGGGTGTGTGGGGGGAGGGGGGGGGGGGTGGTATGAGAAAGGGGAGTGGAAAATTTTTCTGTACGTGCGACGGGCTTCCTCTCGTACGGGCTTTATTCTAGGACGGCGATCGCACAAAGGAGTCCCGTTACCTCATTTCCTGCTGTTTCCTCATTTCCTGCTGAAAAAAGGCGCAAGCGGATCGAACGGAGGCGTACCGATGGATGAGGGGCTTCAATTCATCCCTGAACTAAGCAGAGTCACGTGATGAATCGAGAAAATTATGGACGCAGTGGCGTGAGGAGTAAGGGGAGAAACCTGAGTACAAAATCCATCCCCTTCCGGCCTGTCACCATACGTGCAAATATGAAATTCGTGGTAAAAACTGCTTCATTTTGGCACTTCTTGCAAAAAAAGAATTCAGTCTATACCTCGCCTACGTGCATACTTCTTTTTGCCGCGATCAAGGCAATAATTCTTGAGAGCTAGGGGGAACAGTGACGGAGAGACTCGCAGACAGACAGAACTATAAGGAACCTTGCTTTTCGGGAAATATCCCACTAAAAATAAAAGCGCCGGGCTAAATTTAGGAAAGAAAAAAAAACCTGACGCTCTTCGGCAGATTTTCTGTGGAACGTTTAGTTCGTTGCCGCGTTTATCCGCATTCCGCACGCCATTGAATGCTTTTTTCCATAATCAGTTCCTTATTTGCTAAACCTCTCTGCTTGGAATGCAAATCACAGGCACGAACGAAGACATGCTTGCTCAGCATCCCTGCGAATGCACGGGGAATCGTTGCAACTCCGACTCAGGGCTCCTTGGAGTCAATTGCGTTCCATCCCCACCTCGACGGCATCGTCTCCAAAATTCCACATTCTAGCTTAGACCGTCGATTACGAGAAAAAGGCTCGATGCACAAATGGAAACAAGTAAGTCGGAGTCGATTCTCTAATGAACGAACGTAGAAATGCACATGATGCCTTCATCCCTCAAGAGAGACATCTAGCGTGATAAGAGTGAAGACCTGGAACGGACAAGAATCTCAGTCTATAACAAATATTCAATTCTCATCTTTATCCGATTTTGCTTTTCATGCCGCTCTTCGAATGCCATGGAAGAAAAGTTCTAGGTTCGCCTAGATGCTACTCCATTTTCTGCTGGAATTTCAGTCGGATAGTGACGCGATAGCTGGAAACTGCCAAATTCAATGAAGGAATTCCAGATTGCTGCTTAGACAACAGCTGGAAACAGTTCCATTCCCACTAGAATTTTTAGGTGGAACCCACTGATATGTAAACACTACGGGTTCTGAAAATAAATGCTGACATCACTAAAAGCTCGTCATGAATCCCAGGTGCGCTAATCCAGAGGAGTACACTGTAAACAATGTAAGTACGACCAAGTAATAATGGCGGAGTGCCACTACTCATCGAAAAGAACCAGACCAGGAATATCTCGTCTCATATGTTAGGAAAATGCCATCAATACAGAAACCTCTGCTCTTTTTTAAAATATTTTTGTCTAACATTGCGATGCATCGGGACTGTTGTGAATGGAAATGCTACTAGGTCATTTCATTAGTGACTTACGTTTGGCTTGACGTCAGCAATGACGTCAGATGCATTTCCACCTGGGCTCCATATTGCAATTTTCCTTTCAGTAGAACAGAAATTTCCAGCTATTTATCAAAGGGATTCAGAGGAAGTCCCAGAGGGATTTTTAAATTGGAAAAAGCCTTCAACGTGCGTATCACTACACTCAATGCTTTGTATGGAAAACATTGAAGGTGCCCAGGCAGCTGCGACTATATATATGGAGTAAAAAAAAAAAAAAACCACTGCAGTTTTTATGTGCAGGGCTTGTGACACGCGAAGGAACGATCTGGAAAGCGGCTTCGAATAGTTGGCAAGGTGAATTCCGCAAATGCGCATGGCGGAATTCGATTCGCTAATCTTAGATTGCGTCTCGGTGTTTTCCAATTGCGCACACTTTCTTGATTTTCCCCTATGGCTGACACAGATTATAACGAATCCCCTGCAATGCCCTTGATCTTATCCCCTTGCCATCCCCTTGATCTTATTATTATCCCTGCGGGCCCATGTACACCTCGACGGAAAAATTCCTGCAATGGATGTGTTTCTAAGAAACGAAAGGGGGACGTGACTCTGCGGAAGTGGACGACGATCCTTTCCGATCACATTGCAAAGCCAAGTCGGTCTTTATCAAATGGGCAATGTACCATGAAAAACTGCTGTGCTATGTTTCAGTCTAAAAACAAGGTAACCGAAGTGATTGAAATTGTTCCCCAGCGTAATCGTGACTGCTAGAACTGGGGTTCTTCGCAAAGCAACGACTCCAGGGAAGTTGTGCGAATGAGTGCATCTCGTCATGGACAATTTGAAGAGATTTCCTAAGTGCTGAAGTAACGATTGCGACGGTGTTCGTTTATTTATTTATTTTTACAAGGAACTTGTGTCGAAGAGGACTGATGAAAAGGGGCGCACGGATCTAGCAGGAAAAAAGTGAAGCAAATATACTTTTTGCTTCCTAATCCAGAGAGGTGGCAATTGCCACCCATTTTCCTACCCGCTTCCTACACCATTGGGGAATGCTAAAGTTGATTATCACGATGGCACTAACGCGCAGCAGCTAATGATAGTCGTCGAGGAGTGATCCACGTGTCGAATAGCATTACGGAATTTTGGCGAAGTCGGTTGTTTATCGTATCCTTGCCATAAAATCTTTCTCGTTGCTCTCCGTGCACTCCTCATAATTCTTGCTTATGAGTTATTTCTTTATCTTTTTTTGCGATCCATAGGCGTTTCTTTGTTGCTGTGACTCACTGCTTTTCACCACCTGTTTGGGCAGGGCTGCACAATGAAAGTGGACTCAGCTAGCAATAAGTCAAATACCAGGTGGAAGCATCGGCTTGAATCACCCCCACCTCCCATCGACCTGCACGACGTGAAAAATAGACCCCGACTGCACCTCTATTCCTGTTTTTGTCAACTCATCACTTCGAACCGCGCAAGTTTCCCCCTTCGCATTCCGTAATTTCTTAGGCACCGTTCCACCCCTCCTCTAAACCAAGGGGCTTATACTCCCCATACCAGAAAGTCCCTTAGCAACAAAAAGCTGCGATTTTCCGCCACCGTCTCTTCGACGCACAAGCGTGGAACGAGCGGAACCCTGCGTCGGCGTGAACGCGCATGTGTGTGCAGGAGAAGTGCGCACATCCCCGCGATGACGTCACGTGGAGTGTGAGAGATTATACCGGGACACATCGATTGTATGTAGAAGGTACGCCCTCTCCCGTCCCCGTCCCGGCATGGGAAAAGTCAATGGTGTGCCGGGTGAATGAAGTGCAACGTGTAGCGTGCATTCGTTGCCATCCCGCCTGCGTTCCGTTTGCTGCTTTTTCCCTCAGCACGTTCGGATTCTCAGTCCTGTTCCGTGAAAAGCGACATGGCGAGCGAAACCCCGGCTTCCCTCAACAAGGCCAGCACCATGAAGCTCACCGTCGAGGTTTGTTGAATGAGGAAAGTCGTGACGAAATGTCCATCGAGACGTTTAGTTGGTGTTTTCTCGCCCAGGAAGGGAATATATTCCTGAGTGGAGAGATCGACAGGGCTTGCGAACAGCAAAAGAAGGAGAAGGTTTCTCGGGAAAACACTATGACTAAGACAGCCCAAGTCAGTTGCTTTTGTATAAACTGTACTGTATTCGTAGTAGGCAGTGTATGAGTGAAACTAACACAGACTAGTGAAACCGGTATTTCAATTTGAGGATTAGTTGATCTATAGTTATTACTATTTCCGTCTTCAGCTGGTTTAGTTGCTAGTTAGACTAAAATATGACACCGGTTCGTGAATAAGTTTTCTGACCGGTCCACTAAGTACATTAGTCAGTCGCTTTCGCGAATGCTTTTTTTGTTCTCAGTGTTTTTGTTGTATTTTCAGAAAAAAAACTTTTAACGAGCTGACAGATAATATGGGAGATATGCAGGTCGCATCAAAGGCCAGTGGGAAGAGCCCGATAAGTGTCAAAGCACAACAAGCCGATACCGAAGTACGGTACTTCCTGTCGGGTTCTGCCTGGTTGCGCGTGGCTTCGTCCCTTGGTACCGATCGAATCGGAACTGTGGGATTGCTTGAGCATGCAGAGGTGTCGGTGCGTGCACATGCGACCGAGCTTAACCGGTAGGAATGGAAGCGTCCTTTATGGTCTCCTGGGACTCCTGAAGCATGTTGCCGGGTGCGGGAATGGGATCTTGCGGGCAATCCCTCTCCTTCGTGGTTTATCCTCGCTAGAGTGGCTTCGATCGACGCCTTGCTTCACGTCACGAGGGGACCAACCCCAGCCCCCTGTGCCCTCATTTCCACCCCTACCCAGATCCCCCCTCTCTTACCCCCTGGAAGCCCCCCGTCCTACGACCTGCCCCCGATCCTCTTCAACGTGGCACTCCCATGTGCCGCGCCTCTTCCGATTCCTTGGTTCCCCTGCTCTCTTCTGGACTTGACAGGGCGTCGGAGACGCACCTCTTCCGACTCATTTCTTTCATTCTGATTTTGATGAAGACGGTGACCCTTTGTCCTTGCAAGCTGAGGTCGTCATCGTTGCATGAGGAAAACTGGGAGCTCGTAGCTGAAATTGCTTCCCGGGGGTTAGGCAGTCTGCTTTTGAATGCCGCGTACATTCATGCAATTCAGTTACGGTTCAATGAAATTCAGTTCAAGGAGGAGCACAGTTATATGGGGATAAGGGCGGGGCAAGCGAAGGAAATTCCAAAAGAAGTTATTCGAAAAAAAGTTATAAAAAAGGTTTCATGGTCGACATGAAAAAAGCCTTACTTCACACAGATGCGTTCGGTTCTCTTCTGACTTTTTCTTATGCAGATCTTCCATAAAATTATATGTAATTTGAAGAGGAGTACAAACGGCATTACATTAAAATGATAGGATGTTCTGACTGGACAGAAACCCATTTCAGGCAACTGCGGCGAAGGGTCTGCAAACATGTCTGCACACGTGCAGGCTTGCCAGGGGCGCTTGCGCTTTCTCCTGACGTCACGTGACGTCACGTATGGAAAGTCCCAGTAGTCTAGGTACTACGCCGCATTCCTTTTGCTTTGGGAAGGGTGCATTTCTCATCGTTTCGTTAGCATTTTGTTAGAATGGCAAAAAACTAGGCGCATTAAGGATGCACATCTGCACGTTTTCGGAGAAATAAAATAAAAAAGGGAATGGGGCTCCTGAATGAGTTTATCGCAATCCGAACAGTAATCAAATGCCATAAGAAACATGGAATCATGGCATCCATATTGACAATATAGAATCAAATTTGCCTGTTGCCAATTTGTCAAGTTAGCAAATAGCAAAGGATGCTCCTGTAAACCACAGAGAAATGCATAAAATCCCTTGAAAGGAGAACCCCAGCTTGTCACTTTATTCGTGTTGGCTGCTTTTCTTCCTAAGGTTCCCACCAGTGAGAAACTCGTTGCTTTCGAATTTAGAGGAAAATCCTGTATCTTATGTGGAGCTGGATTACTTTCTCTGGAAAACTGAGGTAAATTAGGTCTCACTGATCTCACACTCTCCCTTGAAACTACATGAGGCTGCGATTTGCAGCTATGTGATACAGGTTTCTGAAATCTGTTAAATGCCAAACATTAACTGGGACGGTTGAGAAACGGAGGCGTAGACCTATTAATGCCCTATAAGCCCATAGTTCTCTATCGGAAAGGTCCGACATCGTTGGCCTAGGCCTATACCTATCTTTGGTACTCGACATAATTTTGCAACGCAATGCAGCTCGTGGGACCACTTCACTCATGAAACGATGACATTTCGGAAGGCTTGAAAAAACCACTTGTGTTCGTGGACACGACAAAGGCAGCCATTTCTATGCAGGGGATACCTACACCTTCGTGGCGTCATGCGCGAGAGAGGATCAGATATCGACCGCTCTGTGCTCTCACGTGTTTCTCTGGAGGCTTCGAGCGTGGCACACCTCTAAGTCAAACGTTCTGCCACAGAGTGATCGATTTGATTCACCTGCGAAATTTGGAGGATGTGGGTATGGATTCAATCGAAGATGAATTTTACGGGAGATTGTATTGGCTGGATTAATTTTATGTACCCATGACATATCAGCAACTACGAACAATTCATATAATTTGTTTATGTCCTTGCACATCCTTACTCAGGCCGTCGAAAGTATTGTTCATGCCATTGGGTATAATTGTTTTAATTAAAAAAATGGTCAGGTTATGTTGGTGAATGATTAGTCGTCGGAGTTTGTCGAGTTATCGCCATGAAATGAGATGTTCCACTTTACCTACATGCATCGATTATTATAATAATATAATATACAGCGCACTACACGGTGGGGCTTATTGCAGACGAGAGGGATCAAGTAGCACTGTAATTATCATGACTTCGTATTTTGTTTTCTGTTTACCGAAAGGAGGGCCTGGCATTCATCGAGTCCCAGAATAATCGGGAGAGCAGAGAAAAAGAAGAGGAGGAGAGAAATGAAGAAGACGAAGAAGAAGAAGAAGAAGAAGCGGAGGAGGAAGAAGAAGAGGAAGGAGAGGAGGACGAAGAAGAAGGAGGGAAGAAGTTGAACCGAGCCAGCACGATGCAAGTGACGGCAACGGTGGGTTCTCCAGTCTAAATCGGTTTTTGGCTACGGATGGGTTTGCAGCTGGCGGCATGGAGGCAAAGGAAACGATGTGGAAAGCCCAAATGTTCTCTACCTGCACCATTTAGTGCAAAACTTATAGTTTCTCTCTTTGAAATACTAGAATTAGGTGTTATTTTTATTGTTCCCTCCACGCACTCTCAAGGTATTTCTGACTTCAGCTGCGAAGTGCATTCTCTATACGTTCCTTTGGTGCCCGATACCAATTATTGTTATTTTTCTCTATTTGTTCCCTTGATTATGGCAGGAGGGGAAGAAGTACCTGGAGTCCCAGGGTGCCTCCCACCTCATCCCCGAAGGACAGAGTCAAAAATCAGCAGAGAACGGCAAGGCGAAACTCGCGAGAGACGGAACCATGCAGGCTACCGCGAAGGTCCTTTCTCCTCATTTTAATTTCCTTAATTTAATTCAAATTTTTTTTTTACGAGTGTAACTGTTTTTATTTATTTATTAATAATTATCCATGACCATCACTCCACTGCAATCTCACGCCCGACTCTCCTTCACGATGGTTTCACGACCACCGATCGGACGCAGTGGATTGAACTTTTTTTTTCATGTCCGATTAAGAAACGAAATGGGTTCGTTGGACAGCATGACTGAGAAATTGAACCACGACCAAGGAATTTCTGCTGGGAAGAACCAAGAAGAATTGCATTAAAAAAAGACTCCAAGTGCGCCATTCTGCAATGTATGTGTGATTCGTAAATACATCAGGCATTGCACGATCGATAAAAAAAAAGAATGGTATAAGGGTGGGGTCGTCGGACAAGACGTCTAATGTCAAAATTAATCTAATGTTAATCACAATAATGTTCAGAGCAAATTCCTTCGATTTCATGATAATTTTGCCGCTGAATTAGTTTTACATTGTTTTTGTTAATAATTCCTTTGTATAAGGTCACATTTTTGTAACATTATAGGAAGGGTTGAGCTACCTGAAGAGAGAAGGCGAGAGTTTCCTGGTCCGACGCGTGGAAGGAGCGACAAAAGCGTCGGAATCGGGAAAAAAGAGGCCATTGGAGGAAAAGGAGGAAGAGGAGGAAGAGGAGGATGAGGAGGAGGAGGAGGATTTCCCCAAGCCGAAAGCCAAGCGGATCAGCACGATGATACAGACTGCCAAGGCATTTTTTTTCTTCAATTTCCTGTCTTGTCGGATTCGGAATTTAATTCTGAATAATATTAAAATGTATGTTTTGGTTTTTGCAGGAGGGAGAGGCATTCTTGAAGGAGAGCTCAGGGAAATAAACACTCTCAAGGGGATTCCTCTTTCAAGTTCAACAGTTTAGCTTTACTTTCCCTTATTTCCATCCCGGTCATCATTGATTGAATTTTTATACTTGATTCGAGTTCCTGGGCTGTTTTTGTTTGTTTTTTAAATTTTACATTCTTGAACTTCTGGTTCCTCAAAGAACTGGAGCAACATTTTTTGCAACATTTTTTTGCATCTTTTGCAGCATTGCGCATGTCATATTTGTCGTCTTTGCCAAAATATTCTTTTTGATGCTGCAGAAGCACTGTTGAGATTTTAGAGCGTGCTGTGATTAAACTGGCTTTCGCACTGATTGGACATGACATGAGGACAGAACAATGAGTTTTTTTTTTTACACCTTCCTATCTCCACGGGGCGTAATAAAACGAAATTTCCACATTTAGCCGGTTATATTTTTCCTTCCCCCACGTGTCCCTGAACTTTTCAGTACTTGTGAGGTCGAGCGACGATCGTTGTTACTGTCGGTGCAGGCGAAGTGCTAAAGATTCAGCGTTACCCTGAACCCCTTCAAACTAAAGGTCAACTGTTCCAGTATTAAACCATATTCCTGTTCAACAATTTAGTGGGAAGAAAATGCAGATAAACTTGTGATAAATTCGAAACACATTCAATAAATGGTTCAATATTTTCACTTGGGGTCGAAAACCACAATTAGACCAAACTCCAACCAAAAATATCCATTATTAGAGATAGGCCCACCCTAAATGAGCGCTCGATCGCGACTCCGGATGCCAGAATGGACAGAAATCAATCGTAAATCAGAGTGGAAATTGATACTTCCAGAGTCGAATCCGGTCCGACGACTTTCTGCCCTTGCGAGTTTCATAACTTCATCAAAACAGAACAGCATCAGTCTCACTTATAAAATATAATGACTATGTAGAATATATCTGACATTTCCATCCTCGGAAATCGCACCGACGTAGACGTGCTTTTCCGGCCTCCCAGCTAACGTGCACTACAGTATTACACGTGCTACACGATACTCGTAGGTAATGTCTATGGGCCAGAGGGAGACATTCTGGTTCCGGCCTTCCATCCACGATTTTTGGCAGGAATCAACTTTCAGAGGACTTCGCTCATTTTTCAATTGAGTGATTCCAGGTTCTGCGAGATTTATTTCAGATATTTGATATCTAAATGGATACTTCCAGGTCGTATGGAAAAGTACATATTCCGAAGAGTTTGCTTTTGCTTCCCCTGACGAAGAACCGCTGGCAGAAATGCCACTTTTTTTGTTCAAGTTTCAAGGTTCTGGTAGGGACGTGGCATAACGACGTGCGTCGAGTCAGGCTCACGGCAGGCAGACAGGAAGATGTTCCTCCCCTATCTTGACCAGTGATCTTGACCCCTTACTCTTCTCTTGACATCCCTGCCTGATAGTTGAGTTCTGAAAAAAAATTCAAGGTAATTATTCAATATTATGGAAAGCAGACTCTACGAGGAATTCTTCTGGTAAATGGTGAGATTGATCTATTGTTTCTTTCTCGGAGTACCATCGATTGAATGGAATCAGGGAATGAAGAAGCCAGCCTATTCCGAGTTTCACTAATCCATCATGGCGGCGTCCTTTAGCTATTAGGAAACCATGTGCTTTACATTTGCACTAGCCGGGATATCACTTTTGATTGGCAGACTGAGAATGTCTGAGAACATTACATTGGCTACATTGATATACGTTTCTAGATCTTTACGTTACCCTGTGCCATGTCAGCACTTACTTTAGGATATCATCTCTAATGGGTGTCACTGTGAATTCACATTGACTGAATGTTTCACGTTTGCTCCTCGTCTAGCTACTTTCGCAAATTCATTCGTAAGGCTATGCTAATGCTGGAATTGGGCCTATTGATAGCTTGGTCATGTTAATCTAGCCTACTCGTTATAGGCCTAGGCTACTTATTACTAAGGCCTGTTTACTTGGGCGTGAAGTGATATGGACTTACCTGGAAGTGGATTTTAGGAAAGAAATAGATTATATCAGAGTTTGAGTTAATGTTAATGTGATAACATGAGCTTCATGAGAAGTCCCAGTTCTTTCACCTGTTTCTTGGCAGGTAATTGCTTGTTTTTTTCTTCACTTAATAAATTAATGTTTCACCCTCTTTGATTTCTCCCAAGTCCATTCAATTTGATTTTGTATACATATCTTTGAGACCTCTTTCAGATCCTCTGAAGAACAGAAGATTGCACAGTATCACCCAAAATTCTGGACATAGGGTTTGCTCTTCTGAGGATTATTGTCTTGTCTTCTCAGGATTGGCTTCTGCTGAGATTGGAATTTTCATGATCAAGTATTCCTTAGGTCATGTAAGCTAGGATTTGACTTGCTCAGAGCTTACTTCGCTAATTATTTTGCAATGTGTTCTAAATTAGTATGAGATAACTGGGTACTCTTTTGGATAGGGACACGAGATTCATGATGCATACTGTGCTAGAAAAGAAAGTCTCTCCAGCTGTGTATAAGGCTATTGAGCAGCTGGACATTAAAACTTTGGAGAAATTTTCCAATGCTGAACTTCGACCAGTGCTGCCATGTCTGGCTCGTATGAGCCTCATCGACCCGCTCGACCTTTCACCTGACAGTGTTGATGCACGAAAGACAGTTCTTAGGATTTTATCTGGGATGGAAGTTGTGAATCATATTGTTGCACTACTCTCAGTGGAATTTCACATCCTTGAAGTTGATATCAAGAAGGAGCTACAACTCAGGTGAGCTATATGAAGTAATTGTAGGCCTTTAAGGATGGGAGTTGGTCATTGCATAATTTATTCTTGTTTTCCCATTCAGAGCCAAAGCTGGAGGGAATGCTAGTGAGAGTGTGCTCCTACAGAATTTATCAAATAACATCTGCTTTGAGTTTGAACGAGGTGATTCAACGAGGAAGCTCCGTCTGTTACTTAGCCAGCTTGTCTCCATCATATCTCAAGTATGGCCTTTATATCTAGCCACTATATCAGGCATTGGTTTTCTTCCTGTTAATAGTAAACCTTGTATGGACAGGTGAAGGAGCCTCAGCAAGAATTCTTCATTACATCCTGTGAGCTCATGGATAACCCAGTGTATCTTGAAGAGGTGAGTGATGCTTTGAGTGTTGCCATGGCTGAGCTGCCTGCATTTTTGAAGCCTGAAGAAGTTGCTGAAGCCTTACTTCATCTCAAAAATGGACCCTGGCTTCTCTGCCGTCTTGTTGCCAATGCCCCAGCGTGTTTCATGCAAGGTAAACATTTTACTACATTGACTTATGTATGCCTTCCATGTCATTAGTTTGTTAGGAGTCCAGACAATGCAAGAAACCAGTTTCCTTTTCTCCCCATCTGAGCTTATCTGAAATCTGTCATGGATTGTTTCTTTCCAGTCTGCCGCTCACTGGTCATGAAAGGAGAAAAGCAAGATGATGAATCATTTGGAGGGAGGACTCGAAGCCAGGCACTGAGACAGTTGTGCCTCATGAACCCGAGCACTTCTCTCATCATTCGTTCTATCTGTGTAGGTTCATTCTGTTCTTCAGGAGACATTTGCTTCAGTTATCTGCCTGAATTAAATTGCCAGTAGAAAAGAGAAACTATTCATGTATTCAGTGTCCTTGATGTTTCGACATTGTCTGTGTCCAACATTGATGGTAAAATTTTTTGAAAAAGCAGATGTTGAAAGATCAGATTATTGTTTGCATAGTGGATTTAGAAATTAGAGTGCTATGCAAAGATAAGAAATGATCTCTTCATCAGCTAAGGATGTGACAAAAAAAATATATGTTCTCATTGAAACCAGAGTTACAATCAAGTGTCAAATGAGAGAGTCAAGCATCAGACAGTCTTCTATCCAGCCAAAGTGACTGGAGGCAGTCATTTAGCTGTTTCTTCTACCTGTTTTCCTTTGGGATGTCATAGTCACACCTAAGCTGGTAGATGGCTTAATAGGGATCCCTTTTAGATACCTGCCTGGTGCTTTTGTTCCTGGATCTGCTTTACATATTTACATTGTGATAATTAGATTGAGAAAAATTGGAGACCTAATCTAATTGAAGGTATAATCACTTGCCAGTTATCCTCATGGATAAGTGGCAAGTGGTTAGACCCTCATATGATGACTTCCCATGAGAAATCCAACAAAGGATATTTCAAACCCCCTTCCCTGAAAGTAAAACATCATAGAACTGAAAATCTTTTGGCTTGAAGGAAAAATTTCACCTTCGTTGTTGAAATTATGAGGATTTAAAGTAATATAAATAGTTGAGAGTCAGACATGATTATTTAAATTCTGCTTTCTCTTTTGTCATTGATGGCAGGTGGGATCATGTCACATGCCTGGGTTGACTGTGTTGCTGAGCCTGGATAATGCCCGCTATCAGGCAGAGAAGGACAGAGCTGATGATCCTGTTCTGATGGAAGTAGTGCCTTTCATCTCAGGTCTTTTGCTGGGCAATGACCAGATGACCCGAACCTGGTTCTCTGTCTTTATCCGCATCAGTCAGAAGGGCAACAAGGACAAGGATCAGCCTGTATGATGAATAATAAATACTTTTAGTGTTCTGAATGGTACAATGGTGATTATGTCCTTATGTAATAGAGCTCAAGCAAGAGGAAAGGACCACAAAATGTGATGGATGGTGAGGGTGCATTGATGGCCCTTAGGAAAGAGCTTCTCACACGCATTGATGGAATCTTGCGATCATATGAGAGTCTTCCTGAATCCAAGGCTGTACAAGCTTCTGCTGTGCTCAGGCTTTATGCTGCACTCCGTGGCATTGCTTCGTTAAAGTCTGTGTATCGTGTCCAATATCTCATGCAGCATATAATGCAATAGAGTATTCCTGAGGTATTTTCTTTATGGATGATCAGGTTGTCAGATGAGGAGGTGAGCCTGTTGCAGGGCCTGGTGACGATGAGCCCCCCACCAACTCCAAGTGGCTCTCGTTTTGTGTCCTTGGGCCTTTGCCTTCTCCTTGCATGTCCATCTTTGATCTCACAACCAGAGCATGAGAAGAAGATCCTCCAATGGCTTCGGTCCCTTGTCAAGGATCAGGGATACTTGGACAGTGGGAGCTGGTGGTCCTTTGGGGAACTCCTCCTCCTCATGGCCATTCATTTCCATGGTAACACACAGAGTGCTATCAGTGAATTGGTCTGCTCCACTTTGGGAATGAAGATTCCAGTAAGCCCCAAGGGACTGGCTCGTATCAAAAACCTCTTCACTTCAGATATATTCCCAGAACAGGTGAGAATCTGTACAATATTGCTTTCCTTGATGATTTGTTTTCATTTAAACACATGGAAAGTCCAATGGTTTTAGGTAGTGGCCATGCATGCAGTCAAAGTCCCTGTGACTGCAGGACTGAATGCCAATGTCCCTGGGTTCCTCCCTGTCCACTGTATATATCAACTGCTCAAATCCCGAGCCTTCTCCAAGAACCAGGTTCCCATTAAGAACTGGGTCTTTAGGTATCTACTTGTACTTTTATCCATTCTAACTTGGATTTATTTTACAGTTACACGCAATATAATCTATGTTTCCATTGGCAGGCAGATATGCGAATCAGGAACTCCACTGCATCCAGTCATGCCAGGGCTTGTGGAAGTCTATGTGAATTCCATCTTTGTCCCACACATGCAAGGAGGTCAGCAGGGTCTCACCAATGAACCCCTGTCTGAGGATGAGATCCTCTCACTCTTTGTGTCTTCCTTCCCTGCCAAAAAACAAGATGTGGTCCAACGTTCAAGGTACTTAGGCCTCTCCTGTTCTTTGGAATGGTTTTTAGTGAGCCCCCTTCAGAAACTTCTTTTAGGAATAAAAAAGCCCTCAATAGAACATATTGCCACTTTTCAGGTGGCAATTTTCAATTTTCTATTAATCATGAAGTTACACAGACATGTGAGATGTAACAATCAGTTTCCAATACTGAATTTTTTATTATTATGACACTGTGGTGTTACAAGTTTGCTATACTTCATTCACACTGTTGCACTGGACTAATGGGTAATGTGCAGGTCTACATTTGACTAGCATCATTAATGTGATGGACTGACAACAAACCAAGACAATGTGTAAAGTAAGTGTTATATTCTAAAAGCAAAGCAATGCATCAACATCAAAGTTTCTTTCAAACTAGGGGAAACTACCAAAGCAGATACAAATGTTGCAATGAGTGTATGGAGAGGGTGTCTTGCATGCATCAACTCAAAACCTTGCAAATCCTTCAGAAGTCTAGAAACATGACAGGTCATCCTGTCCATACACTTTTTGCAGCATATGATGAGACTCATGTCAATTTTCCCCAATTTGAACAAAACTTGATCTTGATGCATTGCTACATTCTCAGAATACAATGGACACTTCATACATTGTACTCCTTCATTCCCATCCTATCTCACATTGTCAGTAATCCTTTGAGGACTTTTATGATTGTAAGAATAATTTTGCTTCAAACTTTACCAAATTAAAACTGGTATGAATTTCATGCCATTTTATTTTTAGAAAAATTTACTCCAATAAAAAATTTATTAAGCAGCATATTAGACCGGTGAAAAGTCTTATGAAGCTCAATGATGATCATGACAAGGAGTGATGAATTTTTTTTTGTCCCCATCACTTCCATTCCTATGCATTGTGTATTTGGGCATCTCAGAATGATGAGAGAAGGCTCACTTCTTACCAGTCTTTGACCAGCAGGTTGTCTTTTGTAATATAGCTGTTGCTATCTTCTTTGTGAATGATGTCTAGGTCAAGCACACCAACTCCAATAAAGCGAGGACTGTCCCCATCTGGTCGGAGCACTCCAACCCCAAATGAGATTGGGATTGTAAAGAGTGGGGGTGGGAAGGGTGGAAGCCTCTCTACTCAGCTACTTCTTCTCTACTATGTCCTTTTATATGAAGATGTTCGTCTGGGGCAAGTACGAGATGCGCTCCATGGGCCCATCAAGAAATATTCTCCTCACCTGGTGTCTCAGCTCCCAATAAAATTCCTCATCCTTCAGGCCCAGAAGCAGCAAGATTCCTTTGCTGGTATAATGTCACTCATATTTCAAAGGAGATCCTCAAAAATGTAGTCATGAATACCAGGAGGATATCTGTTGTGTGCAGGGCTGTTTCCAGCATTGCTCCGACTGTTGGCCACCCATTATCCACATCTGTGTCTGGTTGGAGACTGGTTGCAGGGAGAAGATTCTGGACCAATCTCCCGTCCACTTCTTTATGCCAAGCCCATCACCAAGGCTTCCATTACTGAGGGTGAGATTGCTTCCCCACTTGATCTAAACATACAAAAATGTGAGTGATGGAATTTCTCTTTTATGATTGGCCTATGTTCAAATCTTTTCTAGCATTTGCCAACCTGAAGGAATGCCCAGCCCGAGCCAGCCTGGTTCTCCAGGGTCTTCTAGCATTAAATCCCAGCAAGATATGGGAAGTTGCTCCCACTCTGATTGGACGTTCCAAGGCTCTCCTTGCTCCATATGTTCCGAGGCAGATACAAGGTATCATATCACAAGCTGCCACTGGATCATATATTCCAGGGACATTCTCCATTTAGAATCCTTGTTTTATCCATTTGAAACTGTTTTACAGAGTTGTATCGAGAGGTTTGGCTCAAGTTGAATGAGGTTTTCCCACGCTCACTGTGGCTCATGACAGTGAATTCCCTCCACAATGATTCATCTGGAAAGGAGCTGGCCGACACAGATGTAGCACTCGATCCTCTTCATGTTTTACGCTGTGATCCTCGCGTCTTCAGGTATCCTGCCAGTGTTGGGCTTATTGGGATTGCTCTTGCAACTTATTTATCTTTTGCTGCTTTGAATAACATACTTGGAATTACTGATTCAGGTGTCCTCCAATTTTCTCTATTGTTCTTCATATGCTGGAGGCATACCTGGCTGCATCAAAGGCCTACCTCTCCCATCACATCCAGGATAACCCACTTCCAACTGTTATACCATCTGCCGTTCCTCAGGGTTGCATCACAAGTGAGGCTGAGCGAGAAGAGTTGAAGAATGCCTTGGTTGCCACTCAAGAGAGTGCAGCTCTCCAGATCCTACTTGAGGCCTGCCTTCCCCTTGATGATGAGGAAGTAGTATGTATGAACCACTTGTACTAAATTGCTTTTACTTTTTTATTTGATGCAAAGGTGTTATGGGATTGATTTTAATTTAAATAACAGGGCATCAAAAGCACACTAGAGCACTCAATGTAGTGGTAGCTAGGCAGAGGAGGCCCAGCCCTTGCAAAGCTTTTCCGATTATATTATTCTGGCTTATGTCTTTCACATGGCTAAGTGCACAGAAGCTTGGAGAATACAGTGAAAACTCGTTAACTCGAATCCTGATAAGTCTAAATTCTGCTTATCTCGAAGTTCAAAGCTTGGTCCCGGCGGAACCCCGTAGGACACCATGTTAAATGCTCCGTTTAACTCGAATTCACTTATCTCGAATTTCCGGATATCTCGAATGAAATTTTCACTCCCGATAACGAATTTCTCACGGTTAACTCGAATTCAGGGTGAGAAGGGGGGAAAAATTTTTCTCTTGGGACTTTTTAAAAAATACTTTTGAATAGGAGGAATGACAAGAAACACATTCGGGAGGATGTTCTTTTGTTTTTTTTTCTGCTTCTCCCTCCTCCCACACAGACGCCTGTGGCGANTTTTTTTTTTTTTTTTTTTTTTGGGGGGGGGGGCGATTCCTGATAACTCGAACTTCAGATAACTCGAAACGATTTGCCCGGTCCCTAAAAGTTCGAGTTAACGAGTTTTCACTGTACTTCCAAAATCTGGTCTTATGCACTCAATTCCTATTGAAAGTTAGGAATTCACTGGAAGCCAGAGCCAAAAAACATCCCTTACTGAAAGGGATATGCATAGGGCATCTACAATAGGATAAGCAATAGAAAAGCTTATGGACCAAGGAAAGTTGCCTTCTTGTGATGAGTGTACGCATGCAACCATGAGGATAAGCCAGCCTTCATATGCCTTATGGGGATTCCCTGACACCCATGCATTAGATCATTACTTGCACCTTACTTACACCGTTACTTGCGCCCCTGGCCATTTCCACTCAAGAAGTGCGGATAGCCCAAATTTAATACAACTTATGAGATGTTTGTGCTTGATTGTTGTACTGCTCAAGTCAGCTTGCCATATCATTAATTATGAGTCTTGTGGCTCCCTTGAAGGGAGGTCCAAATTGGACAACAGAATGTGACTGTAATTGCTATTTCTCATGTGTCTCATACTATGTTCTACTCTGTACTCTCTGTTCTGTGTTTCTAGTCCTTGTGATTAGCTAAAGGTGTCTGTTTGTAGGAGGAAAGGAGTGAGCTGTGTGTATTGAGGGAAGTGCGGAGCCTGGTGTGCTCTCATCTACATCAGGTTTTCATTGCTGACCCCAATTTGGCAAAGTTGGTACATTTTCAGGTAAGGGCATCAAGGACAGACTCCATACAATCTTATTTTATTCAAATCATCAGCACAATAGCTCTAAGGACAAAATTACTATTTTCTAGGGTTACTCAAGAGAGTTACTTCCAGTGATGGTGAAGGGTGTGCCATCAATGCACATCTGCTTGGACTTCATCCCAGAGCTGCTGAGGCAACCTCAGCTGGAGAAACAGACTTTTGCCATATGCCTCTTGTCACACTTGTGTGTCCAGTATGCACTTCCTAAGGCCTACTCCATCGCTCGCATTGCCATCAACACACTCTTCACTTTACTTAATGGTGAATTAATTGTATTTACCAAATCACATGCCTTTAATGTTCCAGAGAGTAGCATATCTTGTAGAGGAATGTATCAGTTTTGCTGACGATGCTGCACCTTATGGTTTGACTGCAAATTCTGTTTGAAGTGAAAGATGGACATGGGGTCCCAAAGATTTGTGATGGTAGGTGACTATTATCTTACTGTTATGGCACCCCATGGACCAATGCAATATTTTTTAATCTTATGTCCTCTCAATTGAAAATCTTAACAATAAGTTTTTTTCATGGATTCAGAAGTTCTATCTACCAAAATTTTTTCTTTTTGCTATCCTTGCACACCTAAGGTTGACATCATGATTGTTGCAATGGAATCTTTCTGTTGGCAGGAGATGTTCTAATCCCCAACATTGAGAAAGTAGTAATGGAATTGGAATAGCTAGAGAATCATTGTTCATGAAGGAGTTGCATGTGCAATGGAAACACTCATCTCTTGATATCTTCTGAAAATTGCAGTGTTGCCGATGCAGAGCCTGCCAGATCTCTTTCGGCCGACCCTGGACGCTGTGGTCCGCATCGGAATTGTCTTCCCACCGCTGTGTGAGGACATAGTGGCTCTTCTCATGCAGCTGGGACAGATGGCCACGTCTGAACAAACCCTCAAAGGTGCAGTGGGGCAAGACAGACATTCCGTGCATCTCTCGTCCCAGTTGACGGGTTCTCCTGAGCATTGCATTTTGCAGACTGTCCAGGACAGAGACAAGGAGTTGTCTGTTCTGGTCCAGCAGTCTTTTGAGCAGCTTGTTTCCAGTCTTGTTTCCAACATGAAGTGTTATTGAATGAACAAAGATCTCAAAGTTTTTTTTCTAATACCTTGTACTATTCAATATTCTCTCTACTGATCTGCAGGGAGGTTGAAGAAAAAATGTTTCGGCGAATATGAATCACCATTAAATGAGATTTTGGCTTAGTCAGGCACCAAAGAATTCCAGCCCTCATACGTCCATTCATTGATGCATCTATACCAATAAGTTTCTGCTACTCACATCAGTTTCAGAAAGTTGTGGTATGATGTTTAGCACAAAATAAGTGTATTTTTCCCAATAACCTTGGGTCTCTCTATTGGGACTTCTCTGTGGATGTGGAAGTATTTCCTATGTTGATCATCCATGGAATTCTCATATGGCACTATCAAGAACATACATTGACTCATCAGTGTGGATGAGAAAACAGTGTGTTACTTTAAGTCTTTCTGTTCATTCTCTACTCATGGGTTGAGCTTGCATCCAATAGAGTGCAAGAAAAAGGGATCAAATGGAAGTCTTTGTAGGATAGCATGTACATTAATGTTTAGACTTTCTCTGCAATGTTCCCCATTGGTTATAAGGTGATAGCCAAACGTAATGCTGAAGTAAGAATTTTCAGTCTGTCATGACTCTAAGTTGCTTGAAAGCACCAGCGGCGTTTGCCAGTGTGAAAATTGAACTGGTAGAATTTTATATAAATTGAATAATTACCTTTTTTCATTCACGGAAAAAAAAACAGCACTACTAATCGACTGGGAGTAGAAAATGAGAAAAAGTGCATTTCTTTTGAGTTTTGTGATCCAGTACCAAGAAAAAAACATCCGGAAGAGAATTCCTCTGTGATATGATTCCAAGAATGAACGACCGTCTCGTATTCCTGCTGTGGGTTACAAAGTCCAAGAACATTTGACTTAGAGAAACCGTTGCTCATTCCCCATGAGAAACTAGTGAAGAGGAAGAAGACCAGAATGCTAACTCCTGAGAAGAAAAAGGCGGTGGAAGTAAGAGTACTGTGGCAACAGAGATGCAGAAGATGGATGCTTAATTTTTCCAAGTCATTCATTTGAAATATCCTGAGAAAGTGGGCTTGAATTGCATCGAGGAGGGAGAGATGGACGGTTGGAGTACCTTCTCCAAGTGGAGAGGCGTGTTTCATCGTGAGACGGGCTGTGAGGTCGCTGGAGTGGAGATTAGACGCAGTGATACGAAAAAATCACCCTTGAAAAAATATCGGTATTAATTTCTTCGCAGCAGTCAAAAGAAGACGAAATTATGAACAAAGAAATTTAAGTACCATTGTTATAGACCTAGCCAATAACGCACAACTTTGGGTCAAAGAAGAGAAAGAAAAAATGTAGGGAACACAAAGAACAGGAGCAGTTTCGCAGGCATTTGGATGGAATGAACTTGATTGGGATGAATACGGATGGATGAAAATCCTCGTCAGTAACAAAATGTGTCCTCTTTGAATTGGTGTGCAACAATCTCTTTTTGTAGGGTTATACTTGCCACTAAAGATATTTTCTCAGGAGTACCCCGATTTTTAAAATCACCTGTTACGGCATCGAGGCTATGGGCAGCTGACTTCACAACCTTATGAATGCGGGCATCCCAAGTAAGCTGGGTCTTGAAAGGGACACCAAGAGGCTTGTATTTACATGGGCGATGGGGATGAAAAAGGATGGAATAAGCCATCCGGCAGGTCAAGTATGGAACGAACGTATAGGTTGAGTGATACCGTCCGACCCTTCCGAGAGTCAGCGGACATCCATCTCTCTTGCAGGTCTGGAGTCGTCGGAAGCGTTCACCGAACCACTTGCCCTCTAGGAGAGCCTCTCCTAGAGAGTGGGGAGGGGGAGGAGGCTCTCCGCTCGCGTCGTCTGCTAACGCCCATGGTTTAATGTCTGGCTGTTTCGTGCTCCTTGTTTATATCAGCACCTATTCCCCCTTAAGGTTTCGAGTTTAAGTTTTCGCTCTGTTTGCCATCAGTCGTATCAGGCAAACCGGGTACGAATTCGTCTGATTTTGGCTGTTTTGAATGGAAGGCGGAGATCCACCGCCGTCGATTTCCAGCCGATAGCGACGAGTTGCTTCATCACAGTTGAATTTGAGGAAATTGGAATGGTTTCCGTGTGATGACGTACGCCTTCCCAATTGACTCGTCGATAAGCAACTCTGCGGGGAAAGGTTCGAACCGAACCATTGTAATCACCTGTAACGCCAAAAACAGCAAGGTCAGACGAGCAAATAGGGTTCGAAATCGATGCAGAGTTCAGGGGTTTCGTCTGCTTCTAACAGTTTTGGTCGACTGCGTCGGTCGTGGGACGGGTCATGATGAAAGTTAAAACCTCGTCTCACGACCTCTGAGGTCGGGGATGACTATAAAACGGTTTCAAAACCAGTTTTGAGGTAGTCGAAGTCATCTGGTTATTGCGAACGGCAATCAAACATGATCCGAGATGCATCGAAGACCGCCGCACTTCATTATAGAAGAAGCTTATAGAAAATAAAATCGGAAATGATTTACGGCAGGGGTGTCAAACTCACATCGGTCGGCGAGCCGCATTCCTTACCCTGCAGATGCCTGCGGGCCTCCTACCTTTGGACATCGCATTTTACATGATATATGGTCCCTAAAGTTACGTATTATGGAGATAATGTTTCAGAGAAAATAAAATAAGTAGAAAAAAAAACCCTAAACGTTCCGAATAAAACGAAGTGAATAAAACCGAAATGTATGACTTCGTCAAGATCGGGTTTCTTAGAAATTCTTTCCATCACAGAACTTACACGAATGCATTCATCCTCCGCCTTAATCACGATGCTACCGAGATGATTTCCTAGCTCGAGTTCTAACGGACTTTCCCTTGCAGGAGACACTGGAGGAAATCAGCGAAGTTCTGTCGAATGTCGATCGTGAAAGATCTGCGAGTGACTTGCAGGTTCCCAAGGCCATTCCTCGTATTTTAGCCCTTTCGTTACGGCGACCCATCCAGAAACAGAATTCATTTCTCAGCTGGAATGAGCCTGAAATTGGACGCCATTTTTCTTGCGAGGGCGTTCCTCCTCTCCAGCTTCTCGCAAATTTTCGCGTAAGAGCAGAGACGAAACACGGAACGAGTTATGGCAGTTATTATGGCAGTAAAGCAGGAATTCCCACGGGAAGAAAATTGCGTCAGGTGCTTAACCACGCTCTCCATCCACGCGACTCTGCCTCCAGCTCCTCCGACGAAAGAGACGCGTGACGTCACCATCACAGATGTCGAATCCGGCTGCTCGGTGGATCAGCTTCCGTTGCGCCCGATGGGCTTGAGCGATGTCACCTATGCAGTGTAATTATTTGCCGAGATGGACTATTGCAGAAGCAATCCGAATTCACGAGAGTAAAAGATGTATCGAAACGTAGCAGCCGAACTTCGGACAACTTAGAGGAGTGTGTCCCTTGCAACCTTGAGCTGGGTGAGAACCCCCCCTCCAGTGCGATTCCAGTATCGGTGCGACTCCTGTCTTGGATACCTGTGGGCGTAGGACTTTTTCTGAAGAAGAATGAAGTCGGGGGCGTCATGAGGGGGCAAATGAGATAAAGAAAATGGGTTCGAATGCGATTCACTTTCGGTTGTGAAAACCATTCATGAATCTCATTCGAGCCTGTTGTTGCTTTCTTCCCTCCGTCATCTCCCGTGCGGTCGATTTTGTTTTGTTTCGGTTGTTTGTTTGTTTTTTTTTTTCTGCTGTCGACATTGTAGGAGGAACATGAGGCTTTCCTTGCGGTCTGTGGAATACTCATTTGAGGAGGGTGGCGGATTGTCAGTTGATAAGCGATATAATTGTAGAGGACTGCGGGAAACGGCAACATTCCTCCTATGAGTCTATGCAAGGTGAAAAGAAGTTAAAACCAAAACGTAATCCGCAATCATATTCACCCTCTTCTCCGGGAAGATCTCTCCCAGAAAGTGTTGACAGGGTAAACCTTGCAGTGGTAGGTGCTTCGGCAGTAATTGACCCCTTATCATCAGGCTGAGATAACGTAAAGCGGCATTATATCAGGCTTGGACACACAGGAAGCCCCGATTCCTTATTGTTCATAGATAACACTTCCCGACGACACTCGACCGTGTGAACAAGGAAGACTCCCCACCTCACGTATGCACTTTAAGCGACCTTCGACGCCTTTGTCGGCCGACTCCTATACCAAATCTACAACCGTTCGGGAGGACCAAAATTGTGCATGCCGATATTGTGTCCGTCGATATTGTGTACGCCGACTTTGTGTCCGCCGATTCCGTCTGTTCTCACGCTGTTCTCGAAAATCCATTCTTGGCATTCCGGTTCCTTGATGGCCGAGGAATCCAACAGCAACGCGAAGCCCCCCGTCGAGGTTTGTCGAACGAAGTAAAATGCTACGATGAGTTATCGGCCAGGATATTTATCGTTTATGAATTTTTTTTTCTCTAGAAGGAAAACGAATCCCCAGGTAGGGAGGTCCGCAAGTCGTCCGAAAAGGGGAAGGACGAAGTGTCTCGGGAAAAAAACATCGATAAAGCCCAACTGAAAGTGAGTTCCAGAAGCGAGTGAGAAGAATTCACTTGCCCCGGGCCGTGCAACTTCTTAATCCGGCCCTGCATACAACTATTGTTTTACTTTATCGTTTATCTTACTATTCTCGATGTGATACCCCCCTCCCTCTTTCTTCGAGACATGCCGTACATCAGCCTATCTACTGCGCAATTCTCCGATCCCAGACCGGAGCATCATTTTCCGTGAGGGAAATTCCCCTTGAATTCGCTCCCGTTCATTCCACAGCCAGCGCCCATGTTGCCCCCGTACTGCGTTTTTCTCGGAAGCGGTGCAAGGCCGCTTGTTGCCGACCGGGGGTCCTCGCTAGAATTTCCGTCTGCTCTGACTGAAATTCGATATGAAATCAGGGTGTCTTTGAGGAATCCTTTCAAATGCTGCCGGGATTTTAGTCACCAATAATGGAGGTCTTCAAATAATTCCTTGCAATCAAGGATTTGATCTAAACTGTAATTAATATGGCGTGGCTTTGTTTTGCGAAAACTTTTAT